GAATCCAAATGAAAATGAGAACTCCAAATGCCGCTGTAAAGAGTAAAAAAAGAAGAAGAAGAAAGACAAATATTTTTTGTTTTTGTTTGGGTTTTCGTTACACATTTGTTGGAAAGAAGAGAAAATTAGTAGAATTAGTTAGATACTATAATTATTTTTTGGTCTTTAAGTTTTTTCTCTTAAGTATACATAAGGTAGAAAATTACTATGTACTTAGTATTATGAGTATGATACTGGAATTTGTACAAAAAATCAAAAAAGTTATAAAAATAATAAAATTAACACCTTTACACAAAAAGTAATTATTTAGAGTAGAGTTTAAAACAGTACAGCAAAGGTAAAATAATCGTTGCAGTTCTTGGACATCCCTAATAAAAATTATATAGATATTAGACCTGCTAAGACCGATCCTACACTCGAATAACCAAATACGTCTGGTGCTTGTATTGTTAAAAATTATGAATTTGAACAAAATGTAACTACACCATACAAGAAATTCAGTGTAAATAAACAGTTTGTAAATAAACAAAAAGCTCGAGAGCGAGGGGGAACTAATGGAAGAATTAATTATTTTGATGAGAGAAAATTTAACGTTGGTATTTGGGTTGACTTCAATAGGGTTATTCCATAATTCCGGAATTTTCGGGTCGCTATCCACTCTATGTACTATTACTTTAAGGATCTTTGCTTAAAGGAACAACATCATAATTTAGAAGGAGTTCGCTCAATGTCCTACATGAGAACAATAAAATCGGAGTATCATCGCGATTGCTAAAGTCGCTTGGACCCCTAACGGTAGTAAGTGGTCCTACTTAGCATCAAAAAATCAATGTTGAAGATTATGTTGTTACTATTCTGCTGAGTAGCAGTGTAGCTATTATGTTAGGTTAGGTAGGCTACGAGGCTTTGCAGATATCATTAAGGTCCACATCGTTACCAGATAAACCACAGCCACATTAGACAGCTAATAACTGAGTAGCAGGAGCAATGTTGAAGAGAATCGCAGTCCGCCAAGCAAACTGGAAACCCCTGGTTGTACCACCATCTTGCCGTCAGCTTCCAGATTCGGCAGAAAGCCTGCTCCAGGAGACTAAAGTCTGATAAAGGCAGGATAACCGCCAGGGTTAGAACTACGGCAAGCCTAAATCGGAGTAAATGAAGTGAAAAAGCGTAGCAGAAAATAAAATTCCGTAGTAGATATTTTTATGTATATTGGCTCCTCATAATTTGCCTTTTTTAATTACAAAAATAAAATAATGCATAACAATAGCCTTGAATCGTGCCCTACAACTATACTATTTAGTATATATAAAGGAATAGCAATTTTAAAGATACTTGAAAAAATGACCCTAAGACAATTTTTGGAGTTCAGATACTGCAATAAGTGCTCTTTATTATTTGGGAAAGAAAACCGAAGTAGATCTTGGGTAAAGCGGACTAGGGTAGTAAATTTCTAATTTTCGTCAAAAATCGTAGCAAATCTATACGATCGTAGTGAAATTCTAACGCTGATAGCCGCAGAGGATAGTTCCAGTGTTTTCTCTTTCGTTCTGCACCTTCTACAGATCTTATCATTGGTCAGAGCCGTTTATTTGATGGGCTGCCAATACTTCCTCATGTGGAATATTGCAGTAGTCCGGTAGCCTACTCCTCATGTCCTCACGTCAGCCTTCGACCTCTTTA